TTTGTCACATCCTTCATCACGTAATTCTAGAATTAGATCTCTCTTTTAAAAGGAACTTTACAACTCTATATGTGGCGTCATATTGGATGTATTTTATTGACCTTATTGACTTTGCCAGTATGGACTTTGCTTTTGAAAGACATTTCATTAAAATGATTACACAAATTTAACCCTGCCAAAGCTTTTTTGAAAAGGTTTAAGTCAGATATAGTTGTTCTTTCTGTGGTGCCCTGATGAAACTGCTCCTCACATCTTCTGGGATTGTCCTCACACACAACTATTTTGAGACCAATTTTGGGACGAATGAACTGCAATGTTCTTCTTGGTTTCTCTCTCTTTTTTTAAAGGATGTAATGTTTGTCTTTTTTAATATACAAAAAGCTCAAACTAATGAATACTTTATTATTATTCTATTATTGCTATTAAATCCTCTCTTCAAAATCCTTTATTCACTGTTTTTAGGAGAGAGGTCCAACAGTACATCCAAAAATTTCGTCATCTGAGAATCTTAAAACTCAGTAAGTAACCTTGTTTCAACTTTTTGATTCATTTCATTAAAGTTTTCTGTTCTGTTTTTCTTGTTTTTACATGTACTGTATATATAGGCTTTATGAAACCTCTATGTATAGCCATGTATATTTGTATAAATTGTGGATTTTATTATCATTTAATTGTATGTTACTTTTACATTTTTGCTATGTACCATATAAAGATAAAAGTGTGTGGAAAATGCTGAGGTGCAATAGATGACTGTCTACAATTTATTTTTTTTATTATGCGGGTTGAAAGTCTCCTCATATCCTGATAGCAATCACAGGTAAGCGGTCGAACACACACACCATCTCTCAAAATCAGGTACGCCAATATATTATTATTACAAAATATTATTTACTGAACAATAATAGTTAATGAACAATAACAGCCATTATAGAAGAATACATTATACAAGAATACAAAGTGTGTAGAATAGTCAAGTCAAGTCAAATATAGGCCTATTTATATAGCGCTTTTCACAATTGTATCAAAGCTGCTTCACAGTATAAATCAAAACAACTTAACAGTGTTTGTTTACTGTGTTTACAGTAACTGTAAGATAAAAAAAATATATATATATATATGAATGCCTGGCTATATAAATGCGTCTTTAGTCTAGTTTTAAACTGGGAGAGCGAGTCTGAGCAACGAACACTAAGTTTTATTCCAGAACTTCGGAGCTAAATGTGAAAATGCTCTCCCTCCTTTGGTGGATCTGGATATCCTTGACCAGAATTCAGAATTTAGTGAATTTAGCCTCAAATCTTAAAGAGCGCGATGGATTGTAGGGTGATAGAAGATCCGTTAAATAGCAGGAGCTAAACCATTTAGAGCTTTATAAGTCAAAAGCAATACCTTGTAATTAATAAAGAACTTTATAGGTAACCAATGAAGTGATGATAGAATCGGTGTTATATGATCATATTTTCTTGATCTATAGTAAGAACTCTGGCGGCTGCATTTTGGACTAACTGTAACTTGTTTATATGATGCAGGAGAACTAGCTGATAAAGCATTACAGTAATCTAGTCTCGAGGTCATGAATGCATGAACTAACTTTTCTGCATCAGAGACAGATAGCATATTACGTAGCTTAGCATTGTTTCTAAGGTGGAAAAAGGCTGTTTTTGTAACATATAAAATATGCTTTTCAAAAGACAGGTTGCAGTCTAATATAACACCCAGGTCTTTTACTGTAGCGGATAAAGTAACAGGGCATCCTAATATGTTAAAAGTCGTGCTGCGAAAGGTTTTGTGGACGGTTTTTAGAACCGATAAGTATTACCTCTGTCTTGTCTGGATTTAATAAAAGAAAATGACACGTCATCCAATCTTTTATATCTTTAACGCAATCTTTCCATTTGGATAATTTTGCGTATTCATCTGGCCGTGATGAAATATATATTTGAGTGTCATCAGCATAACAAATGGAAACTAATTCCATGTTTCCTTATAATATTACCAAGTGGCAGCATATATATTGAGAATAATAAAGGGCCTAACACAGATCCCTGCGGCACTCCATAGTTTGCCGAAGTAATGATCGATTTTTCCCAATTTAAGTAGACGAAATGGTAGCGGTCAGATAAGTATGACCTTAACCAGCTTAATGCTTGTCCTTGAACACCAGTGTAATTGTGTGGTCGATCTAAGAGTATTGTGTAATCTATCTATAGTATCGAACGCAGCGCTAAGATCAAGTAAAACGTCTCGGGTTACGTATGTAACCCTTGTTCCCTAAGAAAAGGAACGAGACACTGCGTCGGTGACGACACTAGGGGATAGCCCTTCAGCGTAGCGTGTCTGAATTTATGAATGAAACCGAATCTAATCCTATTGGCGTTGCGTGATGACATAGCGTGTGACGGCATAATTGGATGTATACAAAAGCACGCCGGCACACAGAAATGTCAGCTTTTGCTATGAAGCAAGTGCTCCAGGCAGGGTGAGTGTCTGGTTCCCTTTCTCAGGGAACAAGGGTTACATACACAACCCGAAACGTTCCCTTTCGAGGGAACTCGAACTGCGTCGAACGAGATACCCACTATACCAAAATGAACCCCGCTCATCCTAGTGTGAAGATGTCTTCAGGCACAACTTAGGATGAAAGCACTCATGCACCGGGTGTAGAGGAAAGGTCCAGACTGTAAAACCTCATGAATGTGTGTGGAGTGGCCCAGCCAGCCGCCTCACATATGTCATGGATAGAAACCCCTGAAAGGAGGGCTCTAGAGGACGCCATGCCTCTGGTGAAGTGGGCCCTCATGGCCATAGGTGAAGGCAAATTGCGCACCTGATAAGCCAGGGAAATAGTCTGAACGATCCAGTTGCTGATGGTCCCCTTCAGCCCCTTCTTGGGCGACCCAAAACACACCAGCAACTGGTCCAACTTCCACCATGAGGAGGACTTCTGGATGTAATACCGAAGTGCTCTGATAGGGCAGAGCAGATGAAGTCTTTCCTCATCCGCCGTCACATGAGGTTGAGGATGAAATGCCTGAAGAACCATAGGCGGTGCCACATTAGATGACACCTTGGGCAAATAGCCGGGCCTGGGATGTAAGATGGCCTTAATGTTGCCTGGAGCAAACTCCAAGCACCCATTGGAAATAGAGAGCGCCTAGAGATCTCCTACCCTCCTCAAATGGCCAACAAAAAGACCACCTTAAACAAAAGGTTCTTGGCCTCAGCCGACTCCAATGGTTCGAAGGGGCCCTTGGCCAGCCCTTCGACAACCACTGCCAGGTCCAAAGTGGGAACCCTTGTGCGAGTCGCAGGTCTCATCCTCCAGGTTCCACGGAGGAAGCTTACGACCAGGTGATACCTCCCCAGAGGACCATCACTCAGAGGAGCGTGGAAAGCCGCAATGGCAGCCACATAAACCTGGTTTCGACATAAATATGGTTTCGACCACTCCAGCTGACAGGCTGGATTCTAGGTACTGTACCCCATCAGGGGCCAGACCCACAGTTTTCACAACTCGGGGTCGAGGGTGGAGAACTAAGCCTTCCGCCTGGGACAGCAAGTCCCTCCTCAGAGGGACCTGCCATGGCGGGCCTGCCAGGAGTGAAATGATGTTCGAGAACCAAACTCGGGCCGGCCACAAAGGGGCTACTAAGAGTAGACTGATTCCGTCTTGACAGACCCTTTCTAGAACTGTTGTTCGTTCTGCTCATATACCAGGGAACTGTGCCTTCAGGAGGGCATTGAGCCGAAGATGAAGGGGGGGCCCACTCGGCTCACCCCATTCGGTCAAACTCCAGATGCCTCCTCTCCACCAGAATCCATCTTTTCCTTCATTCAGCAACAACTGCAGTGAAGTTCCAAACATCAGCAGCAAACGGGTTTGAGTGAGTGAAGAAATGAGCACAGGAAATTAACCGAGCTAAGAGATGCACGTAAGAGAAAGAGCACGACGACAGCAGAAGAGACTAAAAGAAACGAATAACACGGCTTTACAGTTAGGAGGGACACAATCAGTGACTAATAGGGGTGTAACGGTACACAAAAATCACGGTTCGGTACGTACCTCGGTTTTAAAGTCACGGTTCGGTACGTTTTCGATACAGCAAAAAGAAAGAAATGCCAGAGAAATTTCCTATTTGTTTAAAGAAAATTTTTTTTTTAAATAAGTGTGAGTTTTCCTAGATCTTGAAATCTTCAGGTTTATAAATAGGGGTCATCTTTGAAGGATGAACAAATAATGTTTTGGTCATCACATTAAAAATAACATTTAAATATATATTTATTTATATAATATTTGAATTTTGAAGTGCTGGAAAAAGATGTGTGAAGTACTTGAAAGCATTTCACCATTCCAGCCAAACTGGTTCCAGTTAGTGTTACTATATTAAATCCATGGTGAATGTTGCTGGTCTGTGGACGTAAAGTACTAGTTCATTCACGGCACAATGTTTCTCCTGGTTTCCATGACAGTGCTGTTTGATCTAATAGAGATCTACGGTTAATAACGGAGAAATGTGAATCCATCTCACTAGATCTGGCAGCGATGTTATTACCTCAGTGGCGAATTCAAATGTTTTCTTTACCGGATCTCTTAGCGCTGTGTAGTAACAGTGTTGCTTGATCGAGATCGGCTCGCGCTGCACAGATGTTGCTGGTCCGAACTGATAAACGATCCGTGAAGCACATAACGAGGAGCGCAGTTTCATTCTGCTTTCATTACGCTTGCCATTTGGATGTTGCGCAACGTTGTGTTGGCCGCGTCAGCACAAATTTTGCCGGCAAGAAAAATGGTCCAAGCAATCGTTCGGTTTGTATGCGTACCGAACCGGAAGCCTCGAACCGAAACGGTTCAATACGAATACATGTACCATTACACCCCTACTATCTATTAAAATACATTTTAAAGAACGTTGGTAAACCAAACCGTTTTGGTTACCACTGAGGGATTCTAAAAATATCTTTTCTGTTCCACAGAAGAAAGTCATACCAGTTTGGAACAAAATGTGGCTGACCTATCACTTAATAACTATGAAGTTTGTATAATACCTGTGAAATGCCGAGAAGAGGCTACTAGGAGAGAGCATGAGGGGTCCACGGGGCAGGATAATGCCTCCGTCGTTCACCCACTGCAGATAACCTCGCGTCATGTCTGCCATGCCAATTGCCCTTGCTGAGCAGTACAGGAATTTATATCCATTCCTGGAAAACACAAGCACCCTTTTATCAAAACTACTGTTTCAAGACTTAGTCAAGAAGCTAACCTTTTAAAACATCTTCGAGGAGTGCATTTTCATGGGGTTGAGGATTAAGAATGCAAACTCACTCAGCCACAGAGTGGTAGAGTTTAGCAATGCCCTGGTGCGTCCAGTCCTTCCCAAACTGAGGCAAAATCTGGCCAAACACATCTGATCTGAAAGCACATAAACATACGGGTGAACATAGCATGTACTAGCAAACGAAAGGAGCAAAATCCTCTAGTGCATATTTTTTCTACTTAGAAGGAAGTCCAAGTCTCATTCAACTGGGTTCCTAAATATAGCTTCTGACATTCTTTTTATTCTGAGAACTAATAGACTTGCGAAGAAGAGATTTTTTTTTCTCAGCTTGGGCAAAACTCTGTGTCATCTACTAATGAGGATCCTCTCCCCACTTTAGCGTTTTATCTCAGACTCTTTCTGAGTGGCATTATGAGAGAGCAAGATTTAAATTGGCTCATTACGGTGACATCCTCCTCCTAGTCCAACCCTGGTCTGGGCGCACCCCACAGTCAGCCGCCCTGCTTCACAGCCTCACAGAGACGTGTCAGGCAAGCAGGTCAGAGAAATAATAAGCGGCAGTCAATCTGCTCGTTTGATGTTTCCCACCCACCAGCCACTGAGGGCACGAGTCTGTAGGCAGAGAGCATTCGTTTGCATAGATGCGTTTATATTACAGTCGGCTTTGCAGTAATTAAAAAAAAAAAAAACATGGCTGACTGGTATCACACTAATACTGGAGCTGTGAACTCCATCAAACAGCCAGTAAAACTCAGGGAGACATTGTCTGTTAAATGGCACATTGTCTTTGTCATTGTAAGCGTTAATGGAGTGGGTTGCGATGCAAGATCATTATTAGCGGTTTATTATTGCAACATACCCAGAGTACTTGTTTTTGACGAAACAAGCTCGGCCTTGATCTATAAACCGCTTTTGGTTCTGGCAGTAAAAAATCTGGCAGTGAATGAGTCTTTCTGCACTAACTAATGGAAATGTTTATGCACACCTCAGCATTTCCCCCCATTCATGACAACAGTAAACTATAAAAATAAAGAACAAAGGTGGATTTTCAACAAACAACCCAGCAAATGTTTTTCATTAATGTGATGCATGCCTGTGGAATACATACTTGGTGATGGTTCCATCAATATCTGAGATGATAACTTTGTCATCCCAGTTCCAAAGGTAGATGGTGCCTTCACAGCGGCACGTGCCCTGGTACTGTGTTGTGATGCTGAATGTCACATCGTTGGGTCCTTCCTTCAGTTTCAAACTAGCCTGTAAGTCAACACCACCTGATCAATGCATCTCTTTATCACCACATTGCATCTTTTCTATCTGTATTACCACAATTGCATTTGCAACAAATTATACTGTAGGTTTACAATTGTGACATTATCTGTATAATTAACTAATATTAATTAACTAATAGATACATAATCCTCTGCACCACACACTTGACAACTGAATGCTGCAAAATTCATAAAACATGTGCTTTAATTGAATAATAAAAACAAGATTAAAGATTCAAATTAATTTGATCTGACTCATGAGACTTACTTTTGCAATGCAGTCAGTTCATTCACACTACAAAGTCTTCATAAATGTATTAACTCATAAATTTATAAAAAAAAGACATAAGCTTTATTTAATGAAGTAGATTTTCTATTGCATAACTTCCTCAAGCTGCCAACAGGGGGTGGTCTAGTGCAAATCAACATCATGACAATATCCTTTCAGAATGAGTCACAGAGCTTTTCCATAAATTCCTGAAGGAAGCTTAAGGGGCAGCTTTAATCAACTGACTTACAGAGAGCAGTTGCACTACAGACACTACAGAACTCCGGATCTTTCAGTCAAAACCACTTGAGCAAGTGTTGAAGATACTTATGTAAATAATAGCCACTGTGAGTGAATGTTTTAACATATAGTATGTCTACAGAACTAAATATTTCCGTCTCCTAACAAAAATGTAGACTCACAATCTGGTCGGAGGAGAGGCGCAGAGACTTGCGGTAGGAGTGAGTGGATGTGTGCCCGTGTGGTTCAGAATGGACCTTGCGCTCCATTGACGATGCGGCAGCGCTCACCTCCTTACCCTCCTCATCACTGGATGAGTCCCTGGTGTCCACTCTGCACTCAGAGCAAACAGGGAATCAGTGAACTAAATTTGCAACTACATACATTCCTAATTTAGATTACAACAAGAGCACCACAGAAAATTAGACAAAACAGAAAGTAGGCTGGGCCGTCCTGATTCTCTTCTTGTGCATTAAGGGGCGGAAAACTAGTCAACAATTAATCAGAGGAAGGGTCAAGGATAAAACTGATACATTTATCTTTTACTTGTTTTTGTACAACTAAGTCAGTTAACATAGCTAGTCTATAACCTTCGGCTACATTCAGGGACAACAACATTTCAAGTTTCATTATTATCTGCACATATTCCATATTCTGACTCACTTGCGGGAATGACTTTCCATTGACAAAGAGGAGCTGCCATCCTCCATTTGGGACTGCTTCATTTCCAGCTTTCCAGTACTTTCTGACTGTATAACAAGACAAAAAAAAAAAAGCATTAATGCATCAAATCACACTGCCACACATTTAAAAACTGCAATAACAAATCTGTGTAAACACTGTGTGTCACTATTTGCTTTTGTTGTGACATGACTGACTATATGACCATTTCATCCTCATGCCTCCAGGTTATTATTAATAGTCTGATGAGCTGCTTGGCCTAATTCTAGGCTGTAAAATTCCACACCGCAAATTGGTGCTAATTACAGAAGTGCCAGATGAGGGCAGCGAAAGAGCTTGATGTATGATGCCTAAATGACAGCAGAAGCTCCAGAGAGAAGATCTCAGAGGCAGCGCAATTCAATCTTCTTTACAACAAAGATGTTTGCTTGAATTCAGTGAATGTTGAAGCTTTTGTAATCAGATCTGCTGACAGAAGTCTAAAGACTTGTGCTGAAATGCAGTGGGATTAGAAGACCAATAACTGCTCGAAAGTTTTGTTCCAACTCCCTGATTATAACTTAATAAAACATTTATTTTTAAATGGTATACATATCTATAGGTCACAATGCTTTGGTCTTACCTGTTTAATAGTGCTGTCTGCTCTCTTTCTCCAGAACCACCAACGGCCCGATTTCTTTGGCATCCTCTCTTTCACCCAAGCTTCCTCTGTAGCCTGAACACATAATTGACAACTAGAGTACGTCATAGCACTGCACAATACAACTTTTGAAGGGTTTCTGAGGTAAAAATATACTATTAGGGAGAACAAAATACCTTAGGTAAATTCTTCTGAAATGCTTGCAAACTTAAGATCAAAGGGGCAGCCAATGTCCAATTGTAATACCTAAAAAAAACAAAGAACAAACAAGGCAATTTACTTACTAATGTGAGCATTATACAAAAATATTTATAATATATTTTTCATTTAAAATTTAAATTCAAACCAACCTGTTTCCCATTTTAACAACTAAATTTGGATTATCTATGATAGCTGGATTCTCTGCAAATTCATGGTATGTGATAATATGCTCCATGAATTTTTCTAGAAACAAGCAGAAAGAGACATTATTTTCATTTGCAAATCTCTTTGAATAAAAGCATGTGCTAAATCCATTAATTATTATAAATGAACAGAATAAACCACATCCACTGTTTCCACAGCTACAGAACACACAAGAAAGATTCAGATACCTTTCGAAATCTCTCCGTTCTCACTGAGACCTCCACACAGAGACAGTGTGACATCAGGCAGATCACTGGCAGAGTCAGACAGACACTCAGTGCCACTGTCGGCCGCAGCGCTGCCCACAGACTGTGGGGACTGAGAGCCTGAGTGCATCCCAGAATCCATCCAGTGCTTGGAGCCAGAGTCTGAATCACTGCAAATACACATAACACATCAAGGTCACCTGACACCTGATAAACTTGTTATGAACTGCTCCAAGTACCGTAATCTAATTTTAAAAGCAATATACTGTAGGTCAGATGTGTGATTCATTTTCTACCTCTTAGGAAAGTAGCGAGCAGCAACATCAGGCTCCAGAACATTCAGGTCATCTAGGTAGATGTCCTCTGGGCCCTGGTGCTGACTTCTTTTTGGGACGCCTGAACAAATTTGCAGTCAGCATTTTAGGTTTAAATCAGTAATCGGAACAGCAAGCTCTAAAGTACTAAAACAAACCCTCTGAACTGAAGAGACATTATCTTGATAGAACTCCATTAGCTTGATTTAGGTACACAACGATTATTTCTAGAACACTGAATTAGCCTTGTTAAACATAAATCAGCCATTACTTTTTCAACTTTATCTACTCCCACACTTCCACTATCAAATAAAGATAACAGTCACTGGTAAAATCAGTTTATGGGCAGAATTTCCTTGAAAGTATGAAAGGGAGTGGTGCTTAACAGGCCCACCTTTCTTCTTGGACGGTGAGTCAGTCTTGGCACCAACATCTCCCATGTCTGCACCTACATAAGCAGCAGAGGCAGCAACGGCAGCAGCATCAGGGAGAATGGATGAAGGAGTGGAGGTCAACATTCCACTAGGTACCATCTCCAATTCCAACTCCGTGGTAGTTTTGGGGGTCACAGGGGTGCGGGGTTCAGGCTTGACTATGGTACAGCCAGGGGCCCCTGAGGCCCGTTCTCTGTCATCCGTCTCCATGGCCTCTGAGCTGAGAATGACTCTGAAGTGAGTGTTCTCTGAAGGCGTTATGGTCACAGTCTTCGGTAGCTCCATCTTCTCTTTCTTAGAAACCTGGGAATCACAGAAAATATTTTTGCATACTATTTTCACTTATTACTTTGGCAAGGCAGAATAAGCTGCATTTTTTTTTTTTTTTAAGATTTTCTTTCAAATTGGGGGATGGATTTTCCAGCAGAATGGATTTAAATAAGACAAAATGTGTTATTTATTAAACAAACAAACACATCTAGAACAGATTCAGGTTCTATGGAAATCTGCAGTAATTCATTCATGTGAATGAAATAAATCTAAATAACATGAATTTGAAAGAAAATAAGTTTGAGAAATGTCATTTACCCTGGTAGATTCTGGAAACTCTCCCCATGTCCACTGCATGTGTGACTCCATTTTGAGCAGGCTTTCTGATGGCCGAACGACCAGTTCAGAGTCACTCTTGGGAGAAAAGGCCTCTGACATGGCATGACTGCTCAAAATATAATAACAAATAGCAACTCACATAAACTGATAAAAACAAATGGGAAAGTGAAAGTAAAAAAAAGGGGGGGTGGGACAAAGTCTAAAAACATATTTTGGCCAGTCCTCCAATGTTATAAGGATCACCATATTTTGAGGTGTGTGCGATATAACAAACCTGTTTGAAGGAGACCAGTCTCCGTCAGAGTAAGGGTAGTCTAAAGAATGACGAACTGTTTGTATCCTGGGTTCAACTTCTCGAACAGTATTGATTGAAGATGATCTGAAAGAAATATTTCCTTTAATCACAGATGTCTTTAAACATCAGATATCAATAGGTCTGGTGCATCTGTGATTTGGTTACCTGGTGTTGGAAGCAGTGTCCTCATCAGAACTCAGTTCCATCTCAAATATGTCATCTGTAGAAGGGGTAGAGCTGATGACGGCAGGTGGGGTCAGCTCCTCTCGCCGTGGGTCGCCTTTATGCTTCTTCCTCCGTTTCTTCTTCTTCTTGGCTCCCCCTGTGCTGGCAACAGGGGGATCAGGAGGGTCTTCTGGGTCCAGTGGATCGTCATCCAGGTTCTGACTTGGCCTGTGATCGCTTCCGATCCAAAACAGGTGACTGTCAGTGGGGATGGGGGAAGTGGCCAGGTGAGCTGGTACAATCTCCTAGAAAAAAGAATATAGACACCATTAAATAATGGCAGATAAACAGTCTTTGCAATGCAAATGTTTTTCAAAACAAAATGCCATTTTCATACTAAAATATGAAGATGTTCGGTGCAGTGATTATGAGAGACAGCACCTGTGAACTAGGGCACTTACATTCTGCTCCTCAGTTTCCTGCACAAAGAAGGCTTCTCCATTATCTCCCAGCTTCATGTGAAGATCCACAGGCTCCCCGTTGATCTCTATGTCAATCTGAAGGAAGTGCAGAGAATTCTTTTAAAACAGCCTTAATATGGACACCATCAAAATATGTAGCCTCAAACTTTCAATAAGCTACAACTTATAACTACAACTTATAAGGTACAACTTATAACTGGAAGACAATACAATGCTGAATAAAGTTGTAGTTTTTGTTATTTTTGGACCAAAATGTATTTTCGATGCTTCATAAATTCTAACTAATCCACTGGTGTCACATGGACTACTTTGATGATGTCTCTATTTCCTTTCCGGACAAGGACAGTATATCTTGTATATACATTTTCAATGGAGGGACAGAAAACTCTCTGATTAAATCTAAAAAATCTTAAACTGCGTTCTGAAGATCTTACGGGCTTGGAACGACATGAGGGTCATTACATGACATAATTTAAAACTTTTGGGTGAAGTAACCCTTTAAGACCTATACTTTTCTAATTGTCTGACACCTTGGTTCTAAATCAGATGTCTGACCTTTGCAATGTTCATTTATATTTTTATAAAAAAATATATATCTACAGTGCCCTCCACAATTATTGGCACCCCTGTTTAAGATGTGGTCGAGGACTTTTAAAAATTCTCCCTTTTTTTTAAACAACATAGAATCCAAAAGCAAAAAAGAGAGAAAAATCCAACCTTTTATGTAAGTACATTACTTTGGTGGTAATTTTTTTTTTAAATTTAGACAAATAAAAACTTCAAATCCTGTGTCCCACAATTATTGGCACCCCTAACAATTCCGCTGAAAAATGTAATTGATTTTTAAAAAAATATATTTTCTGTAGTTGCTAATGTTGGTCAGGGTATCTAGGAACTTTTAATTAGTAATTCATGACTTCCTATTTCCCTGGGGTATAAATATGACATGACACAGAGGCCTAATTCTCTTACCCATTTGTCAACATGGCAAAGACAAGAGAACACACCATTCAAGTAAGGCAGATGTGTGATGACCTTTATAAGTCAGGCAATGGCTACAAGAAAATAGCCATTAGCCACTCACCTTATCTTGCCCGTATCTAAAGTTAGAGGAATCATTAAGAAGTTTAAAACAAACTGGAACAGTGACAAACAAGGCTGGAAGAGGTCCCAAGTTTATCTTGCCACAACGCACAGTGAGGAGGATGCTAAGAGAAGTAAAAAAAAGTCCTAGGCTCACTGTCACAGAATTGCATCAAATAGTGGCATCTTGGGGTCACAAAATCTCCAAAACAACCATCAGACGCTCTCTACATGCCAACAAGATGTTTGGGAGGCATGCTAGGAAAAAAGCCTTTTCTCACTAACACTGATAAACGTAAACGTCTGGAGTTTGCCAAGCGGCACTGGGACTTCATCTGGGATCGTGTGCTTTGGTCGGATGAGACTAAGATTGAGCTTTTTGGCAACAAACACTCTAAGTGGATCTGGTGTAAAACAAAAGATGTGTATGCCGAAAAGTACCTCATGCCCACCGTGAAGTATGGTGGAGGATCTGTGATGCTGTGGGCCTGTTTCTCTTCCAAAGGCCCTGGGAACCTTGTTAGGGTGCATGGCATTATGAACGCTTTGAACTACCAGGACATTTTAATAAAAACCTGATGGCCTCTGCCAGAAAGCTGAAGATGGGTCGTCATTGGGTCTTTCAGCAGGATAATGATCCAAAACGTGAGGCAAAATCTACACAAAAATGGTTCAGTCACAAACTCAAGGTCCTCCCATGGCCATCTCAGTCCCCAGACCTCAATCCAATCGAAAACCTGTGGGGTGAGCTAAAGAGGAGAGTGCACAAGAGAGAGCCCAGGATACTGGATGATCTAGAAAGATTTTGCAAAGAAGAATGGTCAAAGATCCCTCTCTCTGTGTTCTTCAATCTTGTGAAATGTTATAGGAGGAGATTAAGTGCTGTCTTGTTGGCAAAAGGGGGTTGTACAAAGTATTAACATCAGGGGTGCCAATAATTGTGGGACACATGATTTGAAGTTTTTATTTTTTTAAATTTAAAAAAAAATTTTTACCACCAAAGTAATGTACTTAAATAAAAGGTTGGATTTTTCTCTTTTTTTGCATTTGGATTCTATGTTGTTTAAAAAAAAAGGGAGAATTTTTAAAAGTCCTCGACCAGATCTTAAACAGGGGTGCCAATAATTGTGGAGGGCACTGTATGTACGGCATATGTTTTAAATGACCTTAAAAAGCCAATATCAGTTGACATTTACACTGTGATTCCAACTCATGACTTTTCACTCTCCCAGAAGTACTCATCCAAACTTGGACAAAAAGAAGGTTTACTCTCCTGTCCACCCATGCAGTTTTAATCGTTTGCTCACAGGAGACACAATACCCTTGGAAGAAGATCTTGCCAAGAGCCACCAACAACAATTAGTAAATATTAGGGGTGTAACGGTACACAAAAATCACGGTTCGGTAC